CCCCCTGCCAGCAGCCCCAACCTACTTCAGCTGGGACTGGATGAAAACAGACAAATTAAAGTGTACCATTACTGAAAGGTGGGACTCGGCTCGGAGAGGCGGTGGTGGGGACTCGTGTGGTCTCCCCACCGATACGTTGGGGTTCAGCGATGCCCGGCCATCTCCGCTGCGTCTTTGCACCGTGCCCTTGAAATAAAGTCTCTTTAGAAGAGAGGGGAGCAAGGAGGAAGTGAACCTCCCAGGTGGATTCTTCTAATCCTGTAATGTGTCCAAATATGCTTTATAGACTGGTTAATCCAGTGGTGAAATATCAGGGCTTCAATAAATCAACAGTTCTCTCGTTAGTATGCTAGCAGTTGTGAGCCAGAGCTGTGAATCGTGGAGGGCTTTGAGTAACCGGTCAAGGGGGAGGACGTGAATCCAGCTGAGACTTTGCTAGAGGAAACGTGCCAGGAAACGAGGCCACGCTGATGCCCAGCCAGTGCTTATCTGCGGGTGGGCCAAGTCTTCTGGCCTCTGGCACGGCTGTGAGCAGGGGAGAAGGCGCAGCGAAGCGGCTTAGAGTCTGGGGACAGAATCGGGGAGTGGCAGATGCTGACCCTCGGCAAATGTCCCTCTTTCGGGGTGGAAGCAATAGGAACTAAACCAGGAGAGGCTGGGGCTGGCAGATGTGGCAAAGCGCTCCCTGCTTCCTCTGCCTGCCGCGCCGGGCAGAGCTGCGCAGCGTGGCCGTGCTCCGGGAGCTCCCCTCCTCTCCGGCGTTAGAAACGTGCCGATGGCAACGCGGAGCAGGGGTGGCACGGGACCGCGGGGCACTGTCTGCTGGTGCGGGCGCCGTTAGGGAACGCAGCCCACTGCGGATGCCGGGCAAAGCCCCACCTGTACCCTTCCCTGCCCCGGGGAGGGGGATCTGGAGCTCAGCTCAGCAGCTGGGGTCTGCTCCGGCATGGCAGGGCTGGCGAGGCCGACCCGAGCCCTTGGTGCCCAGCCTGCAGCCTGGCCGTGCTCCTCCTGCGGCAGGTCCGGCCGGCC